GATTGAATTTTGGAACTCCGCTAAGGTCCTCCCTCCCTGAGAGACAATGAGGTATGTCTGTGTCATCCCCATTCACAGCACCTGAATCTATTTGCGGCAGCTAATGAAGAAACAGTATTTGGGGGCCAGGTTAATGGATGGTGAGTTATAAGTTTTGTGAGGGAAGCATGCACCCGTTGGTTTCTTGAAGACTGCAAGTGTTCCCAATGTTTTATTGTAGTGCTACACTCAGGGTGTTGCATTGCAAAGTACCTGGAAAGTTGCACCTCTGTATTCACCTGGCAAATCAGCCTTGCGAATGAAAGCAGACCTGCCTCGGTTAACTAACTGCTGGAAATGCTGCGGGACCCTAATTAGAATATTCCCGTGGAGCAGATAACCAGCTTGATGAAAGTAATAAGGCGCGCTTCTTTGGCAGCAGGGGCCCTGCCGGGTTTCGATTGTTCTGCCCCGGTTTACACTTTCAGGAAGAACGCTGCGGGAATGCGGATGGGAACAGGGTTGGGCGTCCCCCACCACCATCCCCGGCCCCGACACCCTGCTGTTCTGGAGGAGCCAGACCTGCGTTCCCGCGGGCGCTGGGCGCGGCCGGGAAGAGAGTAAAGACGCGGCCGCGCGTAAATTCAGAAAGGTGCTACCGGGACGTCCAGCCCGGATCGAGACCTGAGGTCAGGCTGTCGGGTGGGGAAGCGTTCAGGGTGTGAAGACCCGGACCCTGGAACAGTCTGAGGGACAGTGCATGCAGGAAGCTCAGGCTGGACACGCATAAGATCAGCGCTCAGAATAAAACTACCCAGCTCCACAGCCTAAGACTAACAATGACTCCAGTCGACTTTTTTGCAAAGATAAAAGTTTCTGTTGTTTACTTTTTTTCATTGCAGTCGTAGCGGCAACTCTACAGGTAGGGCCACCCTAGGCTTTTTGTGTGAAAGTTCCCCACAAGAATTCTAGAATTTGGAAACTTTTCTTTTCTTTTTTTCTTTTCTCTTTCCCTTTTTTTTTTTTTGACTTGGAAGTGCAGACCTACATTATAGCATCACCGTTTCAGTGGCACCTGGTCAGTTTAATCTGCAGGAGGTTGGAGCAAGTTCAGATTTATAATTTAGACAGAAAAGACCTACCTGCAGGCAGGTTGCTATTAGGAGAGGGACTGGGTTTAAAATAGGGTCTGGAACTCATTGTGCGTGGGGTTTAGGCCTTCAGGAAATTACAAAAGGTTCAGGGCCGGTTGAGTGGGGGAAAGCTATGACTGCTTTCTGGAAGGAATCTTTACCCCTCCATTTATCTCTTAGTCTATAGGTTTTAGCCGGCATACACTGTTAGCACAGTCTTCCTTGGTTGCAGTTTTTAAAATATATATTCAAGTTGTTGAGACTCTAACATCAGCTGCAGTTTTTTGTTTGTTTTTCCATCAGTATAAAAAGTCAAGGGGTATGCCAGCAAATCTTGCATGAAATGTTTCAGTGGTGAAAGGGATTGAAGGAGAATGGTGTGGACTTGTAAGAAAAGAAAACGTGGTTGCAAAACTGTCTTGTTTCATTCACAGCTAAAAACACTTGCATTTTCCTCAGAGAAAAATCTTTGAAGTGAAACAGAACTGGAAAGTTTTCCTGGGTTATTGTGTTCTAAATGAATTATATTTTATCGTTTAGGGAATTCCAGGTTTTAAAAGTAGTGGATTACGGCCCCATTTATGTCTTAGGATTTCATCAGGAATTTTTACTGGTCACTTCTATACCTCAGGCTTTTGTGCCTCAGCTCCTGACTGAGTTTCTCAACTTAGCTTAATATTCTGTGAAAAAACCATCATCACAGCTAGAAGCATGTTCTCTTTTCTGCCCACTAATTCTTGGTGCAGAGTGTTGATGAGGTGTGAGAGTCTAGAATGTTAAAACTTTCTCCTTTGTAACTGACAGGGACAAAGTAGTGTTTTTATCAGTAAAATAAGCTGATATAATTTATAAGGATATACAGGAAGCAGATGTCTGCCTTGGCAAGTTGCCATTTTTATAGCCCTGTTTCAAACACAAACCACACTTTTAAATAATTAGTTACTTACTAATGAGATCCAAAAAATAAGTTGTCAAAATAGAAGAAGGAGGTAGACTCTTGAGTGACTAAGGGCCTATTTTTTAAAAATTCATTTCAAAGGAGAGGTGGAGGATAGGAATTAGTATTCTCTACGACCATTAATTAGTGTGATTTCAGTCAGTGCCTGGGGCTTTACCTTTTCTCACATGAACCCCTCTCCGTGGTGATGAGTATTTGGAATGTTTATTGCTTTGTTAAAATGAAGTCTTTTCCTTGGGTAAAAACCAGCAACTCCAAAAACCAAGTTTGTCAAGGAACTTTTGTGAGTTGTCCCATCACTACTGTTAAGTAGCTCTATCTAATAAAGAAGAGGCTGGATGGAATTCTTACCAGGAATTCCATCTCTTCATGGGTTTTTCTGGCCCATTGGCTTGTTTCTGTTCGCAGTTTGAATTTAATAAACTCCATTCATATTCAGCCAATGAAACTGGGTGTTTTGAGGGAAACAAAAATAGTAAATGCCCTTTTATCCAAATTGGTTGAGAATGGAATGTTTTGATTAACTAAATATTCCTGTTAAAGTTTTTAGTTTTTATGTAATTTGCCAGTTTTCAAAGAAACACTGTAGGTATAAAAATTATGTAGTTAAAGCAATGGCATTTAAGATTCAAGACATTGCAGAATCTGAGTCATGGGTTCATCACTAGATTCTTTTATTTACTCAGTATACATTCTTAGGGGTATGAATAGCTGGGAAGATAGCTAAGGATTTGTTCTCATCGAGCTTACTGCCTGCAGGGAGGAGGGATTTTCAGCAAAGATTCCAGACCAAGAGTTCACCATTGTGATGGGTGTTGGGCTAGGCTCATGCAGGCTGTTGGAATTTAGTTGGGGTGCAGTTCGCTGATTAGTTTATGCAGTCAGCCAAGACTTAAATGGATACCTATTGCACTGAGTACATAGTAATGAACAAAATTATGTAGAGCAGTTGTCTTCAGGCTTTAGTGAGCCTCATAATCACTAGTGCTGGTTTCAGTGCAGGTTCCCTGGTGCCACCCTCCAAGTTACCAGCAGTTGGACCCCGCAATCTGAATGTTTCACAAGCACTGTGGCGGGGCAGATTCAGGTGGCTCCTGTACCATTCTGATGAATAGTTCTGTGGATGGGGATTAATCGATCTTACCGCATATTTTAAAGATGATTTTTAAATCAATTTTGGGTGAGTATTAAAAAATTAAAGAATCATTCTGAGGTTGTAATTTCTCCTTAAAGGGTTCTTTATCCTGATTCACTGAAATGTTTGGAGGGCCTGTGTTCCCTCTGAAATTAAGGGTGCACTTTTGTGTTTAGGGATATTTGGAGCTTCTCTAGGGAAAAGCTCCAAAGCTTTTAACATATTCTTAAAGAGGACTGTACTCCTTCCCCCCAAGGTTAAGTCCCACTGTTTGATTCTGTCATATGACAGATGAGAAAACAGGCACTGAACAATTCCATTCAGGTAACCAGAAACAAGGCCTCTCCCTGGCCTTGTGCAGAGGGCCAGCGCTGAGAAAAGACATTCTGAGCTCCTTCATACTGGCTTTTTGAGGGGTATTTCTAAATTTGGAGTGGATCTTACACTTGATATGTAAATTTAACTTTGTGTTTCTTCTTTGTTCTTTTTTATTCCAGAAAAGCTACTCTTAAATAGCTTTTATGTTTTTCAGTGAAAGACACTGGATAATGAAGGAAAAGAAACGGAAGTTAGTGGAAAAACTGGTACTACAGTTCCTCTGGGTCTTAAGCTTTTATAGTTACTTGAATTCCAGATTTCTTGTATAATAAAGAAAGAATTTGCTGTTCTCTTGCAAATCTGAGTTAAGGATAACTAAAAATACTTAATCTGATATTTTAACTCTTTTTGCTGGTTAAACAGGTGCTTATTTTATTTCACTAATTGTTGTTTTGATTGAACCCAGTGGCATTGTCTGCTAAATGTAGAAAAGAAGCAAGGTGATTCAGTTGAAGAAATGTGTACCATGAATGTTATAATCTAGACAGCTTGAAGAAAACATTCCATAGAGGGTACTTGTCATCTTTCCTTGTAGCCTTTACAGGTGTAAAGCATGACTGCAAAAAAACGAAAAGAACATGACACCAAATTGACAGAAAATTGATGAATGATGAGTGAGGGTGAATATCATCACATGAATGAAGCCAGTGGAAAGTAGACTAACTAAACTTGCCTTTAGCAGAGTTTTAGTATATTTTCAATGGTTCCAGTCTTTGCTGTTTGTAGTCTTTTGATTTTCTGTGGGATTTTGAGTGTTTTGTTCTAGTAACTTTGTTTAAAAAATAGAACTCAAATTGAAATGGTGATATATTTTAAGAAAGCTTAAAGAATATGGTTTCAATAAATTAGGATTAAGAAGAATATTGCAATTCAGATATTTCAGTGAGAGGAAGCTAAAATCACTGGCTTCTTCATCCAAATTATCCTCTGATTCAGAACTTTGAGTAGGGTTTGGATTTGAGAAATTGTTACATGCTCATTAAAACATCTAATTAATTAAAAACATTCTCCTGCTTGGAAAGTTGTCCTAATGCCCCTTTCTATAAAGTTGGCCACCTGAAGGGACATTTGTGGATGTGGCTTAAAAGAATATTGTGGCACTTGGGCTTCACACTATAAACACAGTTGTAAACTGAGATTTTTAGACCATTTAATAACAAATACTCAGTAAGAATTTGGGACAAGTCCCACATTATGGACGTTGTCCTCTGTTCCTCTTTTGCACATGCAGACAGAATTTGACTGGCTTGTTAAGAAAACTTTGAGGCATTTTTGCAAGACAACATGAAGGGAAGTCTTCCAGGTTTTGAATTTGCTAAAGCTGTAGGCACTTCCTCAGGTGACAGGCAAAGTGGCCTTTTCAGTAAAATTTTTTTCCAGTCTTAATTGAAGTTGATGGTGCTGTTGTGTTATTTAGGTGTTCCTGGTACCAGAGAGCTGAAGTAATGAGAAGACATCATGGAGGCCCAGTCCCACAGCTCCCCAACCACTGAGAAGAAAAAAGTCGAGAGTTCTGTAGTTAAATGCTCCACTCGAACAGATGTCAGTGAGAAAGCCGTGGCCTCCAGCACTACTTCCAATGGTGAGCAGCCTGGGGGATTACCAGCAGCCAAACCTGCAGTCATTTTTATGTTCTCTACATTCCTTGTGAATTAGGCATCTGCACCTGGACCAGTGTTTGTTTTATAACGGACTAAAAAAAGCAAACGGGGGTGAAGTGTGGGGTGGGGTACAAGCAGGGGAGTCCAACCTGCAGCCCCTGAACCACATGTGGCACAGGATGGCTATGAATGTGGCCCAAAACAAAATCATACATAAACATTACGAATTTTTTTTGTTTTCATTAGTGTTTGTGTATTTAATATGTGGCCCAAGACAACTCTTCTAGCGTGGCCCAGAGATGCCAAAAGTTTGGACATCCCTGCTGGATGGACAGGCTTTTGTAATCTCTATTTTGGCACTGAAATGACATGTTTTCTTCCCAATTTTATAATTTGATATGTAAATATAATAGGTTATTTATTATAGAAAGCTCATGTTTTGGCATTTTGGAAATCATCTTGATTAGTCTGGCAGGACTTCAGAATCCTTTCCATTATACATGGAAAGTCTATACTGTTCAAAAAATTTATTATTACAAAAATACAAAAGTTGCCTTGTCAAAATTAGTGACAGGATTTCCCTACCTCCAACTCTAAGTAGTCCACTTTAAAGGATTTTCGAAGTTGTTAATGGTTGAGCCTCAAGGTAAACATTAGTATCTGAGATACAGGTTTTGCTGTTGGCTTATAAAAATTTAATTTACTTAATTTGTGTTCAGATATCCTAGAGCCACTGTTTCTATATGCTATATTAATATTTTACGCAAAGTATTGAGAGGCATTTCAATTCAAGCATAGAGCATTGAAAATGAATTCCAGAGCCCTTCTGGAAAAAAACAGACTGCATAGGTCAGTGGTTCCTTCACTTTCTTTCCCTACTTTTCCACTGTGTAGGCCATTATTGCCATTGCAGTTTGTAGAGTTAATAGCCATCCTGGCCTCCCTGAATTGTACTCGTCTTTTCCAAATTCCCTGCCTGGGCTGTGCTTCCATTCCTGGACACTGGATATCTGGGCATGCAGATTTGCCTGAGCCAACCTGCTACCTTCCTCCCAGTGGACTTATATTTTATTTATTCCAAGAAAGATTTTACTAGGTTGATTTACAATTTTTTACATGCAATTGGAGAATCAGAATCTGCTTTGGAAGGTAACTGCAGCCCAGAACCATAGACTCTAAGGGCAAAAACGCAGTAAACAAGCTGCACCTTCCTGTTAATGACTGTGGCACTGCCTGAGCTGATATACTGAGGAGCCTACCCCTGCTTTCTGTGCCCATCCTTATCCATGGTGACTGTGTACTGCTCAGGTGCCCTCCTTCTCTTATGTTACCAGTGTGCGTTGACAGCTTGACTGGGTGAGAAGAGCTGCTGGTGTTAAACATGCTGGCTAATGAGTCCTGTTTTGAACTGATCCTTAGGGAGATATATTTATGTCTTTGTTAAAATAATGCACTTACTTTACATACATATGAAAATATACCCATATTTCTCACTTTATTTTTGGTGTTTCAAGTCAGAACTGGAGCTTATTTTAATTGAGCCAAATATTTGCGTTATTCTTTCAATGTGGTTACAGAAGGCATAACTTTTCCTTTTAAAAAAATCACGTGACCCTTACATGTTCCCCCCCCCCCGCCCCCTGGAATTTGTAACAGACAAATTCATTATTTCAGAAGTAGAATCAGTCCATGCTGTGTTGCTTATGTGGTAATTTTAATAGTAATTTTAAAGGAGTAAGCACTTTCTTTGTATTACGCTTTATGTGAAACATTAACTTTTGGTTGTCTCAATAGCTTGTGTGTGTATGTGTGAATATGTATGAGGGTATGGGGATGTACTTGAGAGAACGGGTGAGAATGAGTGTGTGTTGGTAGAAGATGATGCTGTGGTATGAACCACTGTCCTTTCTGTGAATTTCAGCATGGTAACAACAGTAGTTTGTTTTCGTGAAGGTTCTGCTGCTTCTGCCACTCCCATACCTACACCCACACCCACACACATGCTTAGGAGGTGCTTGGTGCTACTGCCACCTTGGTTTTCAGCCACTCTTTGACTGTGGGTTGCCCTTATGAACCCATTTAGGGTGACTAGGAACAGAGGTAACCTAACCAGCCTGTGGCAGCCAGGAAACCATTCAAGAGCATTAGCCAAAGAAGGAGCGGTCATGATTTACAAAGTTAGTCCTACAGTCTGAAAAAACTTAACCAAACTCTACTGGCTTCCTACCCTGATCAGCTTGTACCCTTGAAGCACTCATGCCCTCATAAATATGTGTAAAACCTGTCTGTTTTCAGGGCAAGCACCCATTAGTCAGGTTTGCAGGGCACATGCCTAAATGATAGCTGTCCTAGAAATCCTGGTAATTCTGGCCATTTATTCAGTGTTCCTGTTTCTTCTAAGGGAGTTACTACTTTTATATTGGGATAACATAAAGACCCAATTCAAATAAAAGAAAAATGGAAGTGTTGTGTTTAAACATGGATTGTATCTCTACTCAAAGATTCCAGGAAAACCAGCAAAGGAATTTAATGATGGGAAAAGTAAAAAAAAAAAAATACAAACCTCTTTCTTGGTGATTGCTTTAGGTAGGCAATGCTAATAGTTATAATAACCTTTTTGAGAGTCATCTGCTCGTTTCATCTAACTAGTTCATAGTCTCTTTACAGCTCCAGAATCATGGTCAGAGGGTGGGATGGCCCAGCCTTTTCCTTGTTTTGCAAGCTACTACCTGGTTGCATGCTTTTCTCTGCACTCAGAAGTGATCACACAGCTAGTATTTGAGCTTTGGTCCTGTGCTGCATTTGGATTTTAGAGCTCATGGATTGGGACTTTCAAAGGTTGGCACACTGTGTGTGTGCTGGCTGTCATTGCCATAGTCATTGGTCCATTCATCTGTTCTGTCTCTGTCTCCCTTTCTCTTTTTTTCTACAAACATTTCAGAAGTGTTTGGATACCAGTATTGAGGCTATTCACAAGAAGGAAACAAAAATAATTTGGATCCTATAGTGGGTAGTACTGGTTGCTACTGTTTCCGGGGGGTTCTTATCCTTCCTTTACAAAGATCTGAAATTCAAAAATTTGTAAATGAACAATGAGCTCAGACCAAGAACCAAACTAATGTAATATATCAATTTTCTCTCCTGCCCGCAATTTCATGATTAAAATAAAACAAACAAAAATGTTTCATTTTTGGTGCTGTTAGACTGACTTAATTGACTTTCCAGCCATTATGTGCTCCAATTTATATCCGATTGTGAGAGCTTTGTACCTAATTGTGGGCCTTCCAGCCAAACCATGCACATTCCACTGCATGTCCTTACAGATCTGTTTTCTTTCTTTTTTCAGCTGAGTATCTACTCCTAGAATAACATTCATATAGAGTTTTGTTTAAACACACACAACCAAAATATATGGTTCAAAAACTTCGAACAGCATTTTATGTAAGCATTTGCCTCTTAATGCTGAAATTTAAAATAACACAAATGAAAAATTGTGTTCTAAATCTCGTATGAGAAAAAAAAAAACCTAGTTGATTTTTGTATATAAAGCATTGAGTACTCTTACAGGAGCTACAATGTGTGATTTTTGTGCCATAGTTAGCTTTTAAGCTTTAGTATTATTTACTAAGAATAAATGACAAAAAAGAAGACATTTAGTTTTCTGAATGTGTTTTAACTATGATAGTGATTAAGTGACCATTTTTGGAATCTAAAATGATGTCTTTCACATATAAAGTATGCACTTAGATATTAAGTGTTACTGTTTACTTAAAAAACTGGTAATATGTTAATAGTATTAGTAAAATGCCTTAATAATCTTTTTGCTTCTGGTATAGATATCTAAGCTACATGTTATGTTTTGAAAATAATAAAAGTTTTTAGATCTAGATCTTCCAATGTTTTAAAACATTCTCACTATTCTATAAAATTTTCTTCTGTGACTTGTAAATACTGACTTTTCAAGTTGAAGTGTTTTGTCTCATCTTTGGCCTATGAATATATTTTTGGGGGAATAATATTTCTTTTTTTAATAAGAACTTATGTTTATTTAGAATCATTCAGAATGTCAACAAAACAGCTGCAACTTTTTTTTTTTTGCAATCACAGAGTGGTATTCAGTTAGTGGAACAATTATTTTGTATAAGTTGCATCAGAGACAACTGAAGATGAAAGAACTATCATTTCCAAATATTATTAATTTGTGTCGTGCACCAGCAAGAACCTGCTTTAAATTTTCATACCAATTTACAGCTCCCATTCTGCAGGCAAGGTTAGTGACTACTGAAAATACCACCAGGACAGGACTATGTGAAGACATACTTGGTAGTGTGTTAATTATACAGGAAAAGATGCTGTACAATTTAAAAATAAATCTTACAGAGTCTCACATTTCTTTAAAAGGAGTGCGTTGTATACTGTGAGCGTGGGTGGATATTAAATACTTTATAGACAAGAAAGAAAAACTTCACTAGAACCAACTTAGTCGTCGTTGTCGTCGTCATCATCATCATCATCTTCATCTTCCTTCTCCTCATCCTCTTCGTCTTCCTCATCTTCCCTCTTTTTTGGCTTTTCTCAGCCTTGGCAACTGCCTTTTTAACACATCAGGCTTTCCTTTAGCTCACTGTGCAGCAATATCTTTTCCATATTTCTTCTTTCATCAGACTGCTTGTCATCTGCAGCGATGTGATTGCGTATCTCTTCCAGCTTCTTTGCAGCACCACCAGTGGATAGCCCAGGATGCTCTCTTTTGATATTTGGTTGATAGAGCAAAACAAGAGAAAGGCCGAAGGAAGTCTCTTGGGCTCATTGGGATCCTTGAACTTCTTTTTTGTTTCCCCTTTAAAGGAGGGATGTAAGTTTTCATTTGTCTTTCATAAAGGGCCTTATCCACCTTTGCCATGTCTTCACATCTTCCTTTCCCTTCAGCAGACATGGTCTTCTAGCTCTCTGAGCACTTAGAAAACTCTGAGAAGTTGTC